TGGAAACAGGACCACGACAGTCTTCTTCTACCAGACGACGGACACGCTGCCCGCCGCCGCCGACCTCCGCCGCCGCTGACCTCAGCGCCGACTTCACTCCGTCCGACCATCATCTACCGCACGACCAACACCCATTGGAGAGCCGATGACCGAACAGGAAACAAAAAATTTGCCCATCCCAGCCGTCGAAGGCTCCTCTACCACATGACTGTCCCGCCGCACGCCACCGCCAGCCTCCGCCGCCGCCATCAACACCCTGTCCGACATTTCTCTACTGCGCAATCAACAATCACTCTGTCCAACCTTTGTCTATCGCCTCTGTTGTCCGGCGAGCATCCGTCTCTTCTTGTCCCGCTGTCGACGTCCGGCAAGGCCCCGAAAAGCAAACGCCCTGCCATGTCGGAGAAACAATTGGATTATTTTGGGAATTTGGGGATTGGGTTTGGGGATCGGATTTGGGGATTTACGTTGGGGAATTCTCAAGCATCTCCAATAGGGCAGACAAACTATCAGTCAAATTCATCTGGGGTGGCCCAAAGAATGCAGCCTGTGGCGACTCAACAATTATTTGAAGAGGAAATCAGTGGTACTGATGGAGGGGAGCCTATGTCCAGGTTATGTGTTTTTAGTCCTAAGGGACAAAGGGAGGGGCAGGGGAGAAAAGTGGATCTTAGCCAGGAGAAAGATGCTCTGATAGTGCACAAAATCTTGGAGCAACATAAGAAGGGTCAAGGGATGGAAATGGAGGAACAGAGGTAAGTGGTAGTTGTTGGGGTAGAAAAGAGGTCTGAGGTGGAGATCACTACAGAGGCAATGGATGTGAGGGAGGAGGTTCAATTGAGAAATAATAGAACTTGGAGGAGAGCCACTAGACAGAGAACAACACCTCTTAAATCAATTGAGGAGGAAGGGGAAGGTAGCTTGGGTAAAACCAGGAAGAGAGGCAGAAAGGTCAGGGTGTTAAAACAAGATAATAAGACAAACCCAGTGAATGAAGGGGGGAAAGGGAAGAAACCTAAAGTTGCAGCAGATGAGGTGGGGGTAGCCAGCCTAGAGTGGCCCCAAAGTGACAAATGAGGGCTCTGGTGTGGAATTGTAGAGGGTTGGGTGGACCCTCTACAGTTTCCCAAATCAAGGAGGTAATCAAACTCCACCAAAGGATTGGGTGGACCCTCTACAGTTTATAAAAATATATTTAGTATTTATATTTCTTATTTAATATCTTATATTATCAGTTGTTGAAAATAAATAATATATATATAATAAAAAATAATATTTTTTATATAGTTTGTTCGATTTTGTTAGTTGTTTTACATTTCAATCAAAGTTGTATATTTTAATTTCCATTCTCATACTTAATAATGTGCATTTTATCTATAATAATTATGTCTTTGTTAAATTTCCATTAAACTACATATTTGCCCCTTGAACTAAATTGAAATATAATGAAGTTGTCTAAAATTGCACATAAATCTTTTAAGTTTATCAAATTTACAAAAACTTGCACTAAACCCTAAATCCAATAATTCACCATCCAATTTTTGAAATTGGGGATCTAAAGAACCGAACACTCCAAGTTCTGAAATTTGGACCAAATTCTGCAATTTCAGTTCCCAGTGATGGCGCCGGCGGTACAGGCGGAGATCCGAAGTCAAGAATCTGCCACCTGAGAACTAATAGGAGGACGTTAATGGAGAGTCAGCGGCGGAGGTTGAGTCGGCGGCGGCGGCGTCGATGAACCGGAGCTATCAGACCATGATGTTGAGGAGTGATGACGATGTCGACGACGACGACTGTGTCGCGAAGTAAGCTCGCTCGTTGCGTTAATGGCGTATCCGGCGTCGAGTTTGCAGTGGGGTTGTGGCGGGCCTGCGACTGGTTCTCTGGTCGGAAGGCAGAGCTGCGCCTGGTTCTCGGGCGGCGGAGAGCGGCGACGGAACTTGACTCCGTGCTGCGGCGGAACTTTGACGGTGGTCGGAGCAATGGCCCGATCGGGCTGTGCGTGTGTGTATGTTTGCTCTGTGTGCGTGTGTTTAGGTGTACGTGTGTGTGTGTGTGTGAGAGAGAGAGAGATATGGAGAGAGAGAGAGAGAGAGAGAGGAGAATGTGTGTGTTTGGTCTGTGTGTGTGCGTGTGGTACGTGTGTTTGTGTGTGTTTGAGAGAGATAAATCAAGGAGGGGATGGATTTGTTGGTGGTGGGTCCCATTTAATGTATTTGTATAATGTCTAAATTACCTTTAATGAATTCACAAATGGTGTATTTTTTATGACTGTTAGATCATTCGATCCGATGGATAAGATTTATTCTTATTTCTTTCACTGAGAACCATTCTCATGTCAGCGCGACCCTATATATATATAATAAGAATAACCATTTATAAAAAAAATAGAGGCAAAAAAATAAGAAAAAATTTAATGCAACCTATAAATAGTAAGTTTTTTATTTTATTTTTTATTTTTATCTTTAAAAAACCTACATCATTAAGTGTTGTTTTAAATTTTGGGCTTTAATTCATTTTATTATTTAAAAATTTCGGCTAAGATCTATCATGTGTGCATGTTTTCATTTTTATTTTTATTTTTAGAAAAAATGAACAACATTAAAATCTCAGTCCCTATATTTATAAAATTTCAATTCAAAAGGTAATAAAGGTTTTAGAATATCGGTCTTTATATTTCTGCCTTTCAAAAAAAAAAAATATTGAACGCTATTATTTAAATACCATTTTTTACAAATCATCCCAATTTATTTATTTGGAACGTGTGATAATAAACTTGATAATGTTTATCAATTATTTGTTTACCAATCTATTGTTTTTTGTAAATTCGGTTTCAAAAGGTAATATAATTCTTAAATTCTCAGTCTCAATAGTTGTGCATTTCCAAAAAAAATAAAATATAATGCTAATTTATTATTTGTTAATAGTACTCGATTTCGAAAACTCAATTATAAAGTGTATGTCGATATCCAAGTGTATGTTTGGATGCACTTTTGTAATGGATTTTTGACTATGAAAGTCCATTTACTATATAAAAAGATGTTTGGTACAAATAACAAAATAGACTTTTAAAAAAGTAAATCCCATAAAAAGTCCATTTCAAAGAAGTTTACATGAAAACTTCTTGAGAAGTAACTTTTCAAAAAGTCCATCTTAAAATGGACTTCTCAATAAGTGTTTCCAAACAAGCCCCAAATCATTTTATAAATGCAACCGGCTTTGTTAAATCTCCATGAAAATATGGTAAAACAAATGAGCCAATCAACTTTGTATGGAAATAAAATAAAATCAATAAATCAATATGAAGTTCACAGAAAATTAACATAATTAGTAATTTGAATAGTACACGGATCTCAACATTAATACTCACGTGGATTCTAAAATTCAAACTTATATATATCATCATCTTTTGGAAGTTGAATAATATATTGTAGGCAAGATATTATTAAATAGGTTTAGACATGTTTCTTTACAAAATAGTTTAGAAAAATTTTAGGTGACTTCACATCTTTCAATAATGATATATAAAATTTTAGATACTTTACATACGTTATATAATATTTTAAACATACAATTTAGGTGTTTTTAATATTTTACGTTATATAGTATTTTAAAATTTTCAAAATTGCAATCAAGGTCCTTAGGACTTATCAAATTCACAAACAATAACCCCTCAACCAAAATCTGCAAAAACAGTCGCAACGCCACCCATCTATGCCTCCGCTGACCACCTTGACAGCCGTTGACAACAGTCTCACATGCCATAGCCATATCCGTCGTCGTCATCACGTCCGCCTGTATGGTCAACCACCTCCGTCGAGTCAGCATCTGCAACCGTCGCGTCATCAGTATCCTCATTTTTTGATTAGGAGAAGATGGGTGGTGGATGAGAGTTCGAGCAACGCGTGAGAGCCGGCATATCGTATTCGGTCGCCGACGAAGTCAGCTGGAATGAGATGAGAACGACATTGTAACGCCCCACTTTGACTTTAAAGAAATTCCTGACTTTCAGAAAAATCAACATAAAAATTTTGAAACTCATTTCAAAACATTTGTGGCGTTACTCTTTTATTTCAAATCTTCTCCATGTCATAACATTAATGATATACCATAATTCATCAAACATGAAATTCTACTCCTATAAAAGGGTTCATAAAAAACATAAGTCATCAATTCACCCAAATGGGGTTCCCAAAATAAAACACAAGTTGCAAGACATAACAATGTCAACGGGGATCTCCCCAATAGTGTCTCAACACCTCATAAAATCTCAGAGTTCGAAAATTCATCAACCATAAATAATCATAAATATAGTGCAAGCATAACCAATAAATAACCGGTCTCATAGACCGACTACCACTCGCTTTACTCCGCCGTCGTGCCTGCCTTGCTTAACCTGAAATGTTAATTTCAGATGGGGATGAGCACAGATGGAAATCGTAGTGCTCACCACTATGCAGTAAACAATCTTCATAGTATATGTAGTAAAAGAAGTAGTATAATCACAGCATGGATAAGAATCAATCGAGCATCCCAAATTTTCATCATAAAATTCACAGTGTTCAGACTCATGTGCACATCTATACCAATAGACTACTATCAGTAGACGTATCGAATGCCCCATGGGCTTTACGTCTATGCCCCTCGGGCTTATACACCGAATGCCCCTCGGGCTTCTATCGATGCCCAGTCAGTAGGAGTAACCCCTAGGGTTTTCATTTCATAAATACAGGGACAACCGTTCGACGGCCGGTACAGCTCACATCGAAGGCTACATGATTCGTAGGCACACATCGATCATACACAAGTAAGGCACAAACTTTATTGCATAGCAATATTAAATTAAACCCACCTGGTCGGGAGTAGGAGATAACACAGAAGCACACTCGCCAAGCACCTACATTAAGTCAAGATGCTATAATCAACATCTACTGTAACACCTCAATCAATTTTTAAAGAAAATCCATGGCTTTTCCAAAAATCAAGGTAAAAATTTTCGAAGCTTATTTTTCGAATCATAAATTTTTGACGTTACTCATTCCTTTCATAAATACAGTTCAAGTCATAACTGAACTACGGGGATTCATTACCTGATTTTTCAACGGTTTTCATTAACCACAAATCGATAAATTTAACATCAGATCATACTCAATCATATATCAAGTAGGGTTTTTCATCGTAAACCGAATCCGAAAGTTTTCCAAAATGAACAAGTTCAAAATCCAATCCAAACAAGTTCAATACCAACATAGTTCATAAATAAGCGAAAGCAATTTAATAAACATAATAAGCAATGACCACCACCTGTCTTGTCTCGTCATGCGCTGCTGCTTAACTTGCATCAGTTACGAGCAGGTGGGAGTGAGTACAGTTAACTATCGTACTCACACTATGCACATGAATAACATAATAATGGTATGGTCGCAGCATGAACATAAACAATAAAATCATGTCACATCTCTAGTCACATCAATGACTCTAGTCTCATCAAAGACTCACTCATGTACATCTATGCTCATCAAAGCTAAGCCATGCCATATCAGTGAAACATAGGAGTGCGTGCCACATCAATGACACGGCCTTCTCATAGGTCTTTATGAGATTTACCTCACAGGGTAACCGTATCTTATCATACGGGGACAACCGTACCGATGGCCATCAAGCTCACACCCATAGGCTACATGTTCATTTTCATACATAGATCACACCAAGTTTTCAACACAACTTAAGTCACACATATGCATAGAAAATTTTAGAAT